CAACTTCACACAGCTCGGAATTTAAGCTTCACATAAAAAGAGTTCCCCACTCTGTGCCTATCTAGATGTTGACCAGGACGGAGACAGTCAGCCCCCACGACCTGGGTTTTGTCGTGGTTCTGGCTGAGGCGGTACGCATGTAGGTCAACATTGAAGTCTGGCTGGCAGTAAACTCTTCCATGTACGTATGCTTTCGAACCCAAGAGGTATGTGTGGGTCACTTCCATGAGTTCTGGAATTCCATCTTCGTCGACATCACTCACACAGAAGCAATCTACCCGGACAGTTAAGCCATTTGCAATGCATCCTGCAACCTCATCAACATGTCTTACTCCACGCAGCACTTCAGGGTAGGCCGCACGCCAGGCATTTAAAACTCCTTGTTCCAGTCGTGTTATGGGCACTCGCCACGGCTTCCCAGTGGCGTCAGCAGTGGCCTGAGACAGGTGCTCCCAAGCCAATCTAATGCTCTTTTCGCCTGAATCCGGGAGCTCAGTGTCCAGGATATGTTAATGAAGTTGTTCAATTTTGCAGCAATGCGTGTCATGTAACAGTGATATGACTGCTGTCCAGTTGCTGTCCAGCAATGTTTTAAAGGCCCGTTAACACTTATCTCAGTTCCGAAATGGAGGAGGCTGTGGACTTTTGGACACACCCTACGGAAGTGTCTGATGTACAGAGACTGATGTTCAATAACTGACTGGCGCAGATCCCTGATCATTTCCTCTGTAACGACAGGGGCCATTACCACGTCCATTATCTCACGGAGCCGTTGGTACATTCTGAAGCATAAATTCTGCCGAGGTATCTTCCCAGCCACAACGAAACCTGTTATGTAGAATAACATTGCTTTCTGTGCAGCTTTACCCTTCACATTGTTACCGTCATTGACCTTGTTGCTCATCCTTTGGATAAATTTGGGGAGGAATGGAGGCCTATTTTTGGATTCTGCTCGGCCGTAAGGGAAATTGTCAAATAGTGGCCTGAGCTCCCTAATATGGCAGTGACAAGGTGAAGTTGTCGATCAAGACATTCCCCAACACCGTCAGCACAATCTTCTGCGCCTTGGTGACGACAGACTGGCCGCGCTTGTGCTTCGTAAAGAAGCGCTGGGTCCATCGCGGAGAAGCAGAGCACAACACAAAACATGACAGCAGATAGCAGACACACAACACAAAGTCGGTGCACACGACGCGTACACGGTGCGATGCAGCAGCTTACGCGAGAGCAGTCTCAACAATTAACACGTCGGCGTCGGCCTGCTGCACGTGCACAGCAGCCGCCTCCAGATATTGCCTGAGCAGTCTAATGAGCAATGACTTATTTTGGGTGTTACCCAAAAACTGCTCGCGCTGTACAGTACACAACATGTCTGCGCTAACATCAATATCTGGAGCGATTGTTGCACCACTCTTTTTGGCCCGACGCCGCTGCTCCTCGCATT